AAAGTCCAGGGTATGGTGGAGTAGAAGGCCCTGGAGTCTGGGGTACATAGGAGTCCCGTGTGTTCAGAGGGTTGTCTCCGTGGATGACAGGACCTCCTAGGATGGGGTGTTGGGTGATGGAGGGGATGTCTGTGAAGCACGGGCCAATCCTTGGGAAATGCCGCAGAGAAACTCAGGAGGACAAGGAGGGAAGGGGGGGGGACTGGCGGGTTTCAGTGGCAGAGGGTGGAGGGGAACGGGTTGCAGTTCAGACCCAGGTCCCCGTCATGAGGTTCACAAGGCAGGAGAGAAACAACCACCGCTTAGGAAAGCACAAAAAGCCAGTGTTTCAGGGCAGGAGGAAGCAATGAGTCTGAGACAAGGGTGGAAGGAGAGGAATGGGTGGGCAGGGCCTCAGCAGTGGAAGGAGCAAGGTTGAGGGATGCTTAGGGAATTCAAGGAAGGGGGAAGGAAACAAAGGGAAAAGTTGAGAGAGAGTGGGAGGGAGGAAGGGAGGGAGGGAGAGAGAAGGTGCAGGTAAGAGCAGCTCTCCTGATTTGGTGTTGAGGACAACCACAGGACAGGGTTGGGCAGCCTCAGGAGTCCCAGGTGTGTTCAGCAGAGCTGCTCCACTGCCCTGGTCTCTCTGGGGGCTGGTCCCAGAGCACACAGAGCAGGAAGGCAGGGAGGAGAGGCGCCCTCTATGGATGGCACCCTGACATATGCTGTTCCCCTACAGGCCTGCAGACTAAAGCCAGAACTGTAGCTAGGTGAGTGCTTGTCCTGCTTGGGAAACAGGAAGTTCCTTATGGGAAGAGCACAGGGCACCTATCACTCCGCTCTCCTGGTCCTTTCCCAGTGGGTGTCTCTTTTCTCAGAGCCACTTCCCTCCTCAGCTCCTAGCCTCACCTCCCTCCCTCCCGCTGGAGCCCTCTTCCTCTCCACCCTCCCACCTCTCCTTCCCTCCAGCCCATCTTTCCAACTTCTTTCCTTCTCTCCAGCCCCTTCCCTCCCCTCTCTCCCTTCCAGCCTGGGCACCCTCCTGAAGACCTGAGATGGGTGGAGCTGGTGTTCATTCTCCAGTTTGTACCAACACCGCAGGGCAGACAAGACTTCACCCTTCCCAAGGAAGAACCTTGGGAAAGGCTGCTTCTCCAGGACAATCCGCCTTCAATGGGCCCTTGGGACCTCTACTGGCTACACTGCACACTGCCTCTCGATCTTCCAGGAGGCCTCCAGAGAGCCTCAAATGAGAGCTCACCTCAGAGTGTCAGGGGGTCACAGAGCCCCCACACAGAGAACCAGCCCCACACAGGTTTGAACTCTCTTCTGCTCAGCCTCTAACCCACTTTCCGCCCTTTCCTTCCTATACAGGGGATCCTTCCAAAACACTGAGGAGAAATATGAGAACATTGGGATTAAAAGTAAGTTCTTATGGCCATCACTCCCCCACTCTCCACCTTGGCCAATCCTTCCCCACACACTCCCTGCTCACACACATGCCCCACCCATCCCTCCTGCCTGACCCTGGTCCTGATGCAGCAGATGACCTCACTGCTGGAGGGCTCTGCCCATTTCTCTACCCTGGCCGGCATGCCACCTGACCCCAGCACACCTTGATTTTTTTCTAGGACAACAAACAGAGCCCCAGATGGAGCCCCAGCTGGAGCCTAAGGTGAGCATCTCGGAGTAGGGCCTGAAGGAATTAAAGAGAAGTTTGGAGAAGGTGGGGTGGAGGGAATAGAGGGACTGCTCGCAGCATCGGTGGAGCCCTCAGGTGCCGGATAACTGCTCTCAGGTGGGGACAGCTCCCCTTCCACTGTCTCACCCCCTTCTCCTTCCTTCTCGCCAGAATGAAGCCCAGAACAACAGCGGCATCCTCTATGCCTCCCTCACTCTCTCCAGCTCCTCATCACTGGCAGCATCTCCCTGCATCCCTCCC